TATATATAATATGGAAGTGAGTTGGGAAATACCTTTGAGAAATGCTCCAACAGCATTTTCTGTTGGGCTCTCTCAAACGGGTCAGATGGGAGCAGTTTTTTCTCAGGATAGACCTCATCAACCAGGGTCTTGTTCGGCGTCCTGGGGTGTTACAAAGTATTTGTGAAATCTAGCTAACAAAATATATATTGTGTGTTGGAGTGGTCCAGACGCTACACAGGTATTCGCAGGTGATTGGTGACTCGTATATCACCTGACCACTCTGGGTCTCCAGCGTTGGCACTAAACCAAGAGGATTCTTCTCCAAATACCAATCAGGCTTATTCTTCAAATTGATGTTGACAATGTCATGTCTAGGACAAAATTATTCATAGGGGCTTTTCTTTTCAGTCAAAGCAGAAACAATGTTTTCCAAACATTTTCAAAATGATTTTATTGATGCAATGTCATGGACACCCTCAGCACAACAGAAAACCTTCATACCCAACTTCTCCTCAAATAACTCACTAATGCCAATTAGCGTTTATACTCACTTAATTCTCTTGGCATTGAGCACCAATCTTGTCCGTTGGGCAAAAGGGCAGAATCTCATGCTGTAAAGCCGTATATGGTCCTTTGGCACAGGGCTAGGAGCAGGGCTTCCTGTTGCACAATTAAAAAAATATATATGTTAGACCTGATCTGCCCATTTCTGCAATGACGTCAATGTATAGTAATGTCACTTGCATGTTTCTAATTATCCAAAATGTCTTTTCAAATATAAGCAGGTTTTTAGAGTTGACAAGAGCATTGCACATGATGTTGTCATTATGCATTACATTTTCATATTAAAATTATTAGTCTCTACTAACTAAAAGTTAAGTCTCTTGTGTGGAATATATACAGACAAAACATGCATATTTTAAAAGTTACACCTGTTCAAAACGTACAGCAAATCAGGAATAACTCCAATGACTGCAATCTGTGTCAGAGCTGATTCCAGGAGCGCATGGCGCAGCACTTGTATGGAATCCACAGTCATAAATATCTCTGCTAATATGCAGTGATTTAAAGTGCAGTGTCATAATGTCGTCAGCACTAAACACACCTGAGCCCATAACTGTTATATCACTTGTCATTGTCAAGTGTTCACACTTCGTACACATTCTTGTGAACAATGAAATAAGAATGACACTCCCCGTTTCCTAACATAACAAAGACAGATCTGCACATGTTTAAAGACGTCACTTAAGATGATAGAGTAGATGTTGAGTAAATAGTAGATAGTAGTCACACAGTCCTGCTCAGTCACGGAATCTACAATAAACTAAAAACCATGCTGCTCTAAATTGCATCGTTTTGGTGTCTCATAATGATTTCTTACCTTTTCCAAGACATTTCTGAGATGCTGCCATTATTTTAAGGTGGAGGAGCGGTGTGGTGGTGGACGAATAGACCTGCAAAGGTCAAAAGTCAATTTCCATTTAAATACTACTGTTTTTTTATTAAGTTAGCTGGACGCAACAGCTTGCCGTTAAGTAGGACGTTAGGTAACCACTGTCATTTCAGAAATTCAATCATTTAATATTTCACCGTATCAAACCTAAAGAAATAAAATACATAAAGAATACCGAAAAGATATAATAACTGAAAGGTGCACATAATATGATACTTACCTGTCGAACTGTATGACTTGCCACACAACTTGGTCTATTTATTGGAAGGCGGCATGTATACAGTATGATCCACTTCAAACACTTCGTTATTTCAAAATAAAAGTCCTCAATAAACACAACCACTATATACTTGGTAAAATATAATGAAAAGCTCAGCGAGCACTTAACGAAATACCTTACACTTACATAATTTGACCTCTTCTCGGCTAAATGTAAACTTTATGATGATCATTTAGGTGTGCAAAGCATTTTAGGTTTTATTTCGTAATTACAAATTTTCTAAATGTAACATTCACATTTTTAAATGTGAGAATTTCTCTATTACAGTGGCACTAAAAGCATTTCAACTCGTCAAATGTAATACCTATTTGCATGATGAATGGCTTTTTTACATGCATTTTCATACTGATTTGTGGTTGGTCTAATCATAACACTGCAGTCAATATTTTGACACTTGGCTTGCGCTGCCATTTGCTTCAGGACATGAAAATGATGTTACCCATCCTGTGCTGTGTGAGATCTTTTGAAGAAAATTGTGGCTCTTAAAATAAACTAATTTGAACATTTCACAAAACATTTGCAAAAACTTCTTTCTAGTTGCAATGAATTACTTGTAAAGACCTCCATCTGATTATTGTGGTTAGAAGAAAGTCTTTTCACACCACACAGATAACATAATGGATATCACTTTAATTATTTTATTTGTCATGTATAGAGTAAACACGTGAAAACCTAAGTGTTCTTTCATAAGATGCTTTTAACCCATGTCTGAAATATCCTCAGATAATAATCCAACAAAACAAACAAAATATAATATGCAAAATCTTATACAAGTTTGTGACGCACTCTTCTGTGATGCTGATCATCTCTGGACAAAACCATGGTTGAAAGTGTGAATAACATGACTGAACTGATGAAATTCATTGATTATAATTTGCCCACTGATGAATGATCACATTCTTTCTTAGCCGCTATTACCTGACATGAAGACGTCTGTTGCCATCACCATCACTGCCAAATCCAAAATTTAAAAAAGGCTGTGTTGGTATATGTTTGACCAAACACATTTTCATGTGACCCATGACTAAAGAGTTACGCTTTTATCATCCTCAACACTGTTCTACCTTTCAATCGGTCTGTTGTAAACCTGTACTGGGGGCCTCACAGAATTCTTAATATTTCAAAAAGGGAAATTGAAGTGCATTAGTTGAACATGACCAATTTCATTGCCAGACATCACAACTTTCTGAACATTCACAGTGACCCTTTAAAGTGCAGATGCTGAATTACCATATTTAATAATAATAAAAATGAAAAAAAAAAACTCGACCACCTAACATGAAAGTACAATCAGCCCATACAGTGAACTATAAAGTATGTAAATAAATACATTTCTAGAGTTACATTGCCTGAATTTTGTTTGCATGTTCTTGGTTCTGTGTCAATTAAAAATGCATGCTCAAAATATATAGAGTTGCTACGCGACTGCAAAATGTGATTTTAAATGAATTCAGATACTGACAAAGAAGTTACTTTATAATTAACAAATCATACAAGTCAACACAACCCTCATCCAGTGATGATGAATAAATGTATTTAAAAGAATGACTTGTTACTTTGTTACAGAGTTCACCAAAACTCTACAAACGCTGTGATTTAGCAACCAGGGATTCATATTTAGTCCAGCTCCAGTCTTGAGCCTATGTGAAAGAAAAAAGCAGCAAGTGTTACTGCAGCAAATATGTGCAGTCATGATCATATACAGAATTTCTATGAATTTCATAATAAACCTACAAAAAGCGCTTACCATGATGCTCTCTGATTTCTCTTCAGTGGTTTCTTGCAGTAAACTGGTAAGCTGACTCAAATAGCGCTGGTTCTCCTCGAGTAAATGATTGACTGAATCTCTGAAAACAAACAGCAGCATGAAAAACAAACCCTTGTGATTACTTTGTTGATCAACTACTGAAAGCCACAGTGTTTTGAAACCTAGGAGGTCACTTCTAGTAGGCCGCTCACTAAGTCTTGGAAGAGAAATTTACCCCTCGTCCGGCACTTGCAGGGACATGGGGAGGCGAGAGGAGCACTGGGCTTGAGTCTGGTTCCATGTTGACGGTTCTGTGTCAATTAAAAATGCATGCTCAAAATATATAGAGTTGCTACGCGACTGCAAAATGTGATTTTAAATGAATTCAGATACTGACAAAGAAGTTACTTTATAATTAACAAATCATACAAGTCAACACAACCCTCATCCAGTGATGATGAATAAATGTATTTAAAAGAATGACTTGTTACTTTGTTACAGAGTTCACCAAAACTCTACAAACGCTGTGATTTAGCAACCAGGGATTCATATTTAGTCCAGCTCCAGTCTTGAGCCTATGTGAAAGAAAAAAGCAGCAAGTGTTACTGCAGCAAATATGTGCAGTCATGATCATATACAGAATTTCTATGAATTTCATAATAAACCTACAAAAAGCGCTTACCATGATGCTCTCTGATTTCTCTTCAGTGGTTTCTTGCAGTAAACTGGTAAGCTGACTCAAATAGCGCTGGTTCTCCTCGAGTAAATGATTGACTGAATCTCTGAAAACAAACAGCAGCATGAAAAACAAACCCTTGTGATTACTTTGTTGATCAACTACTGAAAGCCACAGTGTTTTGAAACCTAGGAGGTCACTTCTAGTAGGCCGCTCACTAAGTCTTGGAAGAGAAATTTACCCCTCGTCCGGCACTTGCAGGGACATGGGGAGGCGAGAGGAGCACTGGGCTTGAGTCTGGTTCCATGTTGACAGCGAGGAGGGCATCTCTCCACTCTGACTCACAGAGCTTCGTGTGGTGTTCTGTGCCTAAACACAAACACATTCGATTACAATTGTTGCTTAAAGGGTTAGTTCACCCCAAAATGAAAATTCTGTCATTAATTACTCACCCTCATGTCGTTCCAAACCCGTAAGACCTTCGGAAGACGTAACTCGGGGGAGAAGAATTGTTGAATAAATATGTTATTTTTGTTTTCTTTGCGCTCAAAAGTATTCTCGTAGCTTCGCAAAACTGAAGTTGAGCCACTGATGTCACATGGACTGTTTTACCGATGTATTTACTACGTTTCTGGACCTGGGAACATTACAGTTGCGTTGCTGTCTATGCAGGGTCTGAGAGCTCTCACATTTCATCAAAAATATCTTAATTCGTGTTCCGAAGATGAACGAAGGTCTTACGGGTTTGGAACGACATGAGGGTGAGTAATTAATGACAGAATTTTCCTTTTTGGGTGAACTATCCCTTTAAGTTAAAAAAATATATATAGAGCCATTTTAGAAATGCTGTGAATGTAGCTCAACCAATCAGAATTTTAAGTCAGAAGTATTCATTTGATGGTATTAGTTTTGCTTTGAGTTTTTAACTTGTTACTTAACTTCCAACAATTTTTACTGTATTTATTTATGAATAATTTTACACTATCGTTTAAAAGTTTAGGGTTACAAATATTTTTTGAAAAATCTCTTATGTTCACCAAGGCTGCATTTATTTGATACAAAAATGCAGTAAAAAAGCAATATTGTGAAATATTTTGAGAGTTTAAAATAACAGCTTTCTTTTTAAATTAATTTTAAAATGTCATTTATTCTTGTAATAACTAAGCTGAATTTGCAGCAGCCATTACTCCAGTCTTCGGTGTCACCTGATCCTTCAAAAATCATTCTATTGTGCTGATTTGGTGCCCAAGAAACATTTCTTAATCATAATACATTTTTCAGGATTCTTCGATAAATAAAAAGTTCAAAAGAGCAGCATTTATTTTGAAATAGAAATCTCCTGTAACTATGTAAAAGTCTGTCCCTTTTGATCAACTTAATGCATCCTTAAAAAATTCTGACTCTTTTGAGCAGTAGTTTAAGTCATTTGGTCTTTTGGTTCATGTCCATCAAGTTCCAAATAGATGGAATGATCAGATAATGGTCATAACGCCCACCCCTAATGCACACTAAACTATAATGATGGAAAGTCCATGATTATGTGATATTATGAGCATATCTGGCCCTGAGACATTAGAAGCATGTGACTCACACAGGCAATCTTCAGTAAGTGCCAGAACTCTCTCTGTCTCTTGATCTGCATCTGCATGACAGTGGTGTCTGCCTCCTTAATGCTCTCCAGTGTTCTCTCGATTTTAGGGAAGAGGTCGATGATCTTCTGCTTACTCAGAAGGATTTTACTGCAAATAAGACACAACAGCGATTCTAGATTTCATCCATAAAATGCAATCTAACATTCATTTATTAACTAGTCGCAGGTTGAACAGTAAAACTTGAATCATTACAATCCTCTTTTATTGTGAATTGGATGGTTTCAAAAGCTGTTTACCTGAGGTGTGCATATAGATCCCTCAGTACCCGGTCCTGATTCTGGACAGTCTGTACAATAACCTTCACCATCTCAGAACTGTCACTGTAGCCGTGCTGGGGGTCTGGCACTAGGGGAAATGAAGAACACTATATACTGACCCTCGTAATTCATTTAACAGTAAGAATATGTAAGGAAATTTTGCCAACACAGATAAATAATCCAAGTACATGGAATGGGACATGGGGCAAATTTCATTAACTTATGAGCAGTGTTGGGTAAATTACTCAAAAAAAGTAATTGATTACAAATTACTTATTACTACTTGAAAATTGTAATTTGATTACATTACTGATTACTACATGTAAAAAGTAATCAGATTACTAATTACTTTACTTTCAAGTTACTTTGAAAACATATTAAACCTAAAAAAAACAATACACTTCAAAGTGAAAATTGTAGTTGTTTCAGTAATTTAATATTGACTGAAAAATATTACAAAGGTATGAAAACAGCAACTTGACGAAGATTTAATCAATTTCTAAAACGTAGCATTCTTAGTATAAACCTGCCTAAGCAATTAATTAATTGATGAGTGAGCATTAGTAAAGAAAACCCGCTGTTAACAATGTTGAAGATGAACAACTACTGCTCGGGCTTTTAGACATGAAAACATATCACATAATCCTTAACAGTGGTAACTCTGCTTCAGTGTTACTTTAACACTCTGTAGATTGGGACAATATGTACTCTGAGCAGAGTTGATTTAACTCTGGGGATTTTGCAGTGTATACGTGTATGCTGGCTTAACTGTGTGAGTATTAAAGACAGAAAAAACCTTAATAAATTGAAAACAGTTCTGATAACATTTGAGAACAGTATTGATGAACATACAATGCATATTTGAATGCTAAAAATGAATCTAGCTTCTTTGTTTACAGAGGTGATGTGGACGTTTACAGGTTCACGCGTCTCACGTGGATGATTACCGTATGAATTGCACGCGCTGCGCATGGGCGTGATGACATTACAGATAATGAACTCAGACGGGAAAGACTGGACCTCGCGTTGGTTTCATACGGATTACTTCAGAGAAAAGTTTTAGATAAGACTTACTTCATTTAAAGGGGTGGTTGATTAACGTTAGTTAGTGTCTAATGTTGCTGTCTGAGCATAAACAATATCTGCAAAGCTACGAAGCTGAAAGTTTAATGCAAACGGAGATATCATCTTTTAAAATTCTGGCAGTTTAATGCCTACAAAAACGGCTGGTAGGGACTACAACAAGTTACTTCCCGGGTATGTGACATCACAAACCCAGATAAACCCCGCCCTCGGTAAAAGGCAGCAAAGGGGGCGAGGCCATGCTGTGCTGCTTTAGAGAAGAGGAAGAGAAAACTAGAAGTGCATGTAAAAATCTATTCATATATGAATCGCGATTCTGTCTAAACTATTCTAATGGATTCACAAGTTTCAAAATGTTCCAAAGCAGCGGTTCTCAATATTGTTCCTCGCGTCCCCCTGCTCTGCACACGCTCTGCATCTCTCTCTCTCCCTCTCTCATTCAGATCATCAGCTCAGCTCTGTTCCATTTATACACTTATTTTCACATAGCTATGAGAAGCGTTAAACATG